GTTTCTCGACCGCTCGACGGAGCGCCGCCATTTTGGTGTTGTTTTGTTTGTGAATTCTTGCTCTTTCTTTCCCCGCCACCTGCGTCGCCGGCGGCAGCGCAGGAGAGGAGCAAGCTGCTCATGATTGGAGGGCTCGCGAGCGCTTTCAAGTTTCCCGCGGCTGAGGCGCGCAGCTGAAATTGGGCGAAGCGCTCTTGCGCATAATGCGGCCGATGCGGCCGCTCGTCTGCTGCTCCTCCGTCCGGCGTCTTTGTGTTCCGCTCGCTTCCGTGTATCGTTGCAGCCGTTCGCATACTCTCCACATTTCAACTGTCTTCGAAACGATTTTCAACCGTCTTTACGAGACGATTTTCAACCGTCTATACGAGATTGTTGTTGTGTTCGCTCACGATGCGCCCAACGAAAAAGAAGACGCTACAATCGTTCGGTGCAAGGAAGCGAGCTATGAAGCTTGTCCGCGCGGCGAGGCTCTCCGCTCGCACGTGCGCCAACGGTGATCACGCCGACGGTACCTGTGGGGCAGCTTCTGCTTCATCTACGCTAGAGAGTGGTCGCATCGACGCGCCTAGCAACGGGACTCCTGCTCCGCCGGTGCAAGAATTGGTCGTTACAAGTGCGTCTGGTGTCTCGTGCTCATCGACAGTGGCTTCCGCATCTCTTTCGTCGGCCTCGAGTGCGATCGCGTCGTCAACTGTGCATTTGCGAACAAGTTTCCTGACGTGCGAGGAGAAAGAGGCGGCGGATCAACAGCGCGCTGCTGTGCAAAGAGAACTTGGCGCTATGCCAGCGACGGAGCGGAAATTTCAGGCAATGGAGTGCGATCATGAAGCTGCCACCGCTACAAGTGAAGGCGAAAAATTTTTCCTTGTGCAAATGGATGCCCTAGACGACCTGCTATCTCGGACCCCGTGCCACCGGTGCACGGCGATTGGGATGAAGGTACGAGGAGGCACCCAACTTGGACTTGCTGCAAAGCTTGAGCTAGTATGCTTGCATTGTGGAGTAGTTTCAAGCTCATGGAGTTCATCTCGTCAGGAGGACACAAAGGCCTTTGATGTGAATGTAAGAGCCATTATGGCAACAACACAAATAGGCAAGGGACAAACAGCTCTCAACAACTTTTGGGCAGCGATGAACGTGTCCCATCGTGGCCTCCATCACAAGACCTTTCAGAAGCACCTGAAGAAATTCAGGGAACCGCAGACACAATGCATAGAAAATTTCTATGCAGAATCTGCTTCTGCTGTAAAAGCCACTTACAAAGAAATGGATCAATATTTCACCAGGGATATAACAGTTTGTTATGATGGAACATGGGAGAAGCGTGGGCACACATCCCATATTGGAGTCGGGGCAATTATCGAATACCATACGGGCCTTATCTTGGACGCCATTGTTCTGTCTAATCAGTGCCTTGGTTGCCAAGTAGAGCCAAAGCCTGGAGACGCAGACTATGCATGTGCTGGCTGGAGAATCATGTGGGCCAGAAAAACACCGACTCTAAATCAGGGAGAATGGAGGTTGAGGCAGCTATTATCCTCTTTTCACGCTCACTGTCGAAGCACAACCTCCGTTACACAACGCTCGTGTCTGATGGAGATAGTGCCACCTTCTCTGTCCTTGTACAAGAAAAGGTTTATGGACTGGTCCCCATTTCAAAAGAGGAATGCCTGAACCACGTTCAGAAGAGGACGGGGACTGCACTTCGCAACCTTGTGCAGAAAAGGGACAATGCTTTGGGAGGGAAGGGCAGGCTGACAAAGGCCCTCATCGACAAGTTGACAGATTATTATGGCTGGGCCCTACGGAACAATTCCGATGATGTGGCTGCAATGCGGCGGGCAGTGATGGCATCGTACCACCATGTGACGTCGATGGATGAGGAGCCGCACCACGACTTGTGCCCAGAGGGTGCAGACTCCTGGTGTCGTCACAATGCCAGCAAGATTACCGGTGTTCCACCTCTGAAGCATTCGTACAAGCTGCCACGCTATGTTGCAGATGCACTTCTACCCATTTATGAGAGGCTCTCACAGGCTTCTCTTCTGCAACGCTGCCTGGGAGCAAAGACGCAGAATGCATCAGAGTCCTTTCACTCTGTGCTGTGGTCCCTCATGCCCAAAGAGCAGCATGCGTCACTGATTGCTGTGGAGACAGCACTGCATGATGCAGTGCTAAGATACAATGCTGGCTGCTACAGGGCCACCCAAGAGCTAGCTTCATCAGTGGGGCTAACACCTGGCCACCTGGCCATTCAACGGGCAGCCGAGAAAGATTCTCTGCGCTTGAAAAAGGCTAAGAAGCGATCCCTAGAGAAGATGGAAAGGCGGCAAAGAAAGAGAGTGCCAAAGGACACCTCCAGTTACGCTGCAGGTTCATTTTAGAACTGCCTATGTGCTCAAAACTTTCAAACGTCGTTTTCTCAAAATGACTTTTTTGGCTAGTGAGGCTGCTTATTCCAGCCATATCTCTGGAACCACTCATTGGATTTCCATAAGTCTTTTTTTATTATGTACATGAATAAATTTCTGAGGGGGTGCAAGCCCATTTTTTCAATATACTGTGTGTGTTATTTATTATATTTAATCAAAATTTGATTGATAATATCCTAATCACGAACACAAAGTTTGATGGTCTGCTAAAACTTTTCAGCAAGGAAATTAAAAAAAAGGGCGCTGTTACCCCCTGGAGTATCAATCTGGGAATCATCATAGTCAATTTCGCAGTTCCAGCACCTTTTGAAAGTTCTCCAGGCCTGGAATAAGAGAACCATGTGCACTACCCTGATATTCTGCTGTAACTTGAAAACCAGTGAACATAACTTGATGAAATTTTGTAGTTCTTCTAATGCTTTTGCTATAAGTCTATCCTGAAAATTTCATTAAGATATCTCAATAAACAAAAAAGTTGGTATCCGATGGTAGCCTCCCCCCTTAACGTGCACACAAATCTGAGCACACAGGCCTACAACATTTCCGCCTCCATCGGAAATGCAGCCGCCACAGCCGGGATCCGAACCCGCGACCTGGGGGTCAGCAGCCGAGTACCTTAGCCACTAGACCACCGCGGTGGGGCGTCACTGCAACACACATTGTGCATATTGCGGTGAAGCGATTATATGACACACTTTTTTTCTTTGGAGAGCCATGTTGATAGCTGTTTCAGACTGCTGGTTTTGCCATTTGGTTTACATTGCAGCAGCATTTTCTGTTTGTGCAATAACAAAAATATGCGTCCAAGGTTAGATTGTACTGATCTGAGTGACCCCCAAAATTAATTTCTTTTTCTGGACGAAATAAGTGTTGGACAAAAAACATAATGCATGATTTTTGCAATCTATGATTGGTGATCAACACTTTAAGCTTGTTGTATTCTGCATAATTTGCTATATGCATGTTGATTACATTTGTGTTTGAGAGCACTTTGCCCAATCTGTGCATGCAGTAGCTTGATCTAGGTGCTTTAGAGCATCAACTTATATGCAATGCCGGTTATCCCGCACATTTTCCTGATTACATTGTAATAGCATCTATCTCATGGGAGGGAGCCAAAAATTCTTGATTTGTGCAAATATTCGAACGCTTTAAAATTTAAATGAATATCACAGTATTCATATTCGCTTTGACTTGAATTAACATTATTGGAAATTTCAAAGTATTCGTCCACGCGTATCACCCCACGCCTCAAAAATGTTTCACTGCAGTGGAGGAGTGCTATGCTGTGAGTACACCAAGCCAGAAGAAATTTGTACTGCCACGAAGCCCCATTGCAAAATAAATGAACGTAATGCTCTCACATTGATTCATCATTTTTTATTGCAATAGCAATTATGTGAACACTTTTGGCTGGATTTCGCCGCCGGTGTGGATGACATGCACCATTTATGTATACGTATCTATATATATGAAAACGCAAGAAAGAAAAAAAGTCCAGAAAAAAAAAAAGACTCTAGTGTGTGAAATTGAACGGGGGACCTTCGCGTCATGAATGTGAAGCGTTAACCACTGAGCTACCGAGGGATACCTCCTTGAACATTCAAGCGGCAAGCTATCTATACCACTTACTGCTGCTGGCGGGCATCTCGGGAGAGGGGGGGGCTATCGTGTTTCCAGCATTATCAGCAAGATGGCGCAATGCTCACACGGCGGCGGCTCTCATCTCTCACGTGTACTTTGGCCCGCGGAGAGGAAGTGATTGGACGATCTCTCACTCGCCCTTATCTCCCAATGGGGAGGATTATACGTCTTGGCTGGTGCTCAGCTTGCACTGGAACGATTCTGTTGTAGTTATGGGGTGGACAAAGGACACTGCAATCATTGCACAGCATCCGTTTGCAAAAATGGCGTGCTTTTCAGACACAGCGAAGTAACAACTGAGACGCCTATTCGCAGGCATCTGTACTTGTGGCTACGTTTTGTGTCCTTTGTGCCTGAGAAATGCGGGGCTCGTATCGATCTGCTTGCCATTCTACGCATGACCTTCCAATTTGTTACTATCGCGTTCATTGCTTCTCCTTTACGGCAAAGGTGTGACTTTTTTTAAGTTCAAAAGCTTGTTACACTAGCTTATATGCTCTATTGTCAGTGAATTGCATTCTAGCGAAAGTCAAATCTTGCAGCTGTTCTAACTTGCTGGACCTGCTTTGTACCAAATATTAGAATGACATTTGCACACGCCTGGTCTCAACTGAAAAAAAAAAAAAAAAAATGTTATCAAGGTTAGTTAAGTTGGTACACAAATATGCAAGTTTTTAAAGATAATATGATATATACTATTTGATTCAAATATGAAGTTATTTGAGGTAATCACTATTTGATTGGAATTCGCTTTCAACCTAAAATTTAGCATTTGCACAAGCTTAGAAAATACCACTGAAGGGTATGAAACATGTAAGGGGTGCCAAGCGAGCATTCTTTTTCCGGTGTTGCATTAGACCAGCGCGATTGTGTTATGAAGACTGCTACTGCCAAGTGAAAAACCACTGTTCTTGTGTGGTGCAGGATCAAAGTGTGGGACATGAGCTCCATGGAGTGCTCCAAGACATATGTGACAGGTGAGCGCAACAATGTTTCATGCGAAGGGCACGACGGTGCTGTGTTCATTGGGCCATGCTAGGAATCGTATGGTGCAAAAAAAAAGAACAATAGTGGTTGGGCCGTGCACAGTAAAACCTCTTTAATTTGAAGTCAGTTTTGCCGCCAAAAATCTTTCAATCAAGTGGGTTTTTGTATTAACAGAACATACAAAAAGTGGGATGCAAGGAACTTGCAATTATTCAAAGTAATCAGGGTGGATTATTTCCTCTGCCAGCTAGTTTGCGGCTCCAAAGATTATGTTTTTCTGCAGTACCTCGTCTTAATCTCGCTGCAAACACGGAGAAATGGTGGGCTTCGCTGCTGCCACCAAAATGAAAAGGAAAAAAAAACGCAGATGTGATCAACTTTTAAATGCTTGCCTCTGTAAAACAAGACATGCTTCACTGTAATACAGTAATGACAAGCGGGCAGCATGTTTTCTGATTTTTGCTGTGTCAGCATGTCATGACGTGACGATTCGCCAATTCATTATGGTAAAATAAAGTATTTAATAAAGGCCAGTGTGATGATATTCGCAATATGTTTTGGCTGAAAAGCATGACCATTGAAGCTTTCGAGCTTAGTTTTTGAAGTAGGCATTGCAAGCAAGAACTCTGCCAGCAGCGAAAGTGCACAAATTGCTGGAGCAACCGGCATTGGAAGGTTCGCATACATTGCGAGTTCTGCCAAACTGTTCTTAATAAATTTTTTTACAATCCCAGAAAGAATGGGTAAGTCATAACGCTCTGGCGTAGCGCGAAACTTGCGATAAGCTTCCCGCGTGTCACTGCTGTGTTGCAGTGAAGCATATCGTTTCTCGCAAGTGCTGTTTTAATTAATCTCGAAACATATTTTTTAGCGTGAAGTTGCGAGTCTGGAGTGGATCAGCTGTCACTCATTAGTATGTCTACGTTGTTCTCCTATGTGGCTCTTATGAGCAGTTGTTTACGCTTAGTTGAGGCGAAATTGGGATCTGGAACACCCAAAGTTTTCTAATTAATTGGACTGGTGCTGGACGTCACTTTAAATTATCCGCTACGACTTGCATTGTAAGATATGGGACTGCGGAACTACTTGAAATTAAGCAGAGATATCGAAATAACCGAGTTTGAATTAGTGACATTTTACTGTATTAGTGAACGTTTGTCACCTTCACCTGCAATGCCTTGGCTGCCATTGTTACAACCACGCCCGGTCACGGAAGCAACCGGCCGGCCGTCTCACATCTGTGCGCAAAGCTTGGCCACACAGTGTTGCCGCCACGTTTGTGCGAGCTGGTGTGGATGGATCACACTGCATTTCATGTATAATTCAGCTAAAGTGAAGCTAATTGTTTATCTTGCAAAGCACCGTGCAGCTAGCTCATAACATTAATATTTTACAAGGTGCAGGAAAAACAAGCTAGAAAACCACTGGTGCGAACATTGATTTTACAAGGTGCAGGAAAAACAAGCTAGAAAACCACTGGTGCGAACATTGTTGTGTATGGCGAAAACTACATTGGGCACCATCTGCCCCAAGCAGACTGGAGCTTCGGGGGAAGGAGACTGCACCACAAATTTTATCAGTTTTTTTTTTATTGTTCTGTTGCTTCCAGCTTCAGCAGAGCCACTCTTACACTCTAGTGCACTTTAGTATAGTCAAACCTAGTTAATACGTAGTTGGCTGGGAAGGACGTTTTGGTATGCACCAAACCGTCAGGGCCAGTTTAGCGGCTACTTACTGGTCTGAAAGGAACACCATGATCCTCAAAAACACGCACACACACGCAGGCACGCAAGCTTTATTTAGAGACAGGCTGCGAAAAAATTCGTGATCTTCACTTGCCGCTGTAATGGCCTTGCCGCGACGACGGCATCTTCGTAGTCGGTGAAGCCGCGAGCCAGGCAGTCCATTAGGCCGCGCTTCTCGGCGAAGGCTCGCATCACAGTTACAGCACGCGCAGCTTCGGATAACGAAGGGCGGTCGTCCGTTTCGACATCGCTTTCCTCCTCACTTTCGCTTAAATCAAAACGAGGTGCGACGGCGGCAACAATGTCGCTGTCATTAAAGTCTGGAGATGTAACGAGGTCTCCGTCCACATCTCGAAAGTGCCCAAGTTCAACTTTTTAACTTTTTCTCCTTGCCGCTCGAGCACCTCAATAAGGAGGCTCTGGCATTCTGAATTGTGCTCGTGTGAAACAGTTCCGTATCGTTGCTGGCTGTACCTGCATTCATTAGTGCAAAAGTAGGTGTATAGCACCCACGAGGTCTATCCTGTATGTTTTGTGGTGATCCATGGTGATCAACATCCTCCGTGACAGATTTTTGCGGTAGATCTGCTTGACCGAGCAGATGATGCCTTGATTGAGGGGCTGGGCGTGCGCTGTCGTGTTGGGCGGCAAAAACAACAGCTTAATAGCCGATAGGTTACCCACATCGACGTGCGCCGATGCAGGGTCGAATACTATCAGTATACTCCTTTTCTTGGCAGCAAAACGGGGGTCTAGCTGGCGCGCGTTCTCCTTGAACAGCTGGGCTGTCATCCAGGCTTTGCCTGTAAACAACGCCGGATGGCAGCCGAGCTCCTTTGAAGCACCGCGGGTTTCCATACCTGCTAATCACCACCAGTGGCAGCTTATCGCTACCGGTCATATTTACGCCAAAAGCGACAGATATGCGATTTCTGGCATGTTTCTTGCTGGTGCACTTGTCGTTCTGAAATGCTAGTGTCCTGTTTGGAAGCAGGCAATATAAGAGTGCCGACTCGTCAAAATAAAAAATTTCAGCATCCTAGGCTGTCAAGGCTTCCTGCAAATCAGTTTCCTGCCATTCAACAGCGTCTTCTTTGTCTGCTGCAGTAGCCTCACCACAAACAGCCTTCCCCACTGTGCCGTAGTGGGCTTTAAACTGTGACAAAAATTCATTGCTGCAGGCAAAACCAGAGCAGTTCAGCTGATCTGCGAAAGTTTGTGCTTTTTCGGTCAAAAGGAGTCCGCTAACTGGCAGGTTCATGCTCCACGCCTTTTTCATCAGCAGGGCCTTTTCCACTTTGGGATAAGCAGAGTCTCTAATGGAGCACCTCTTCAAATTGCTGCCTGTGCCACCCTTCAACTTTTCGTGAGCGTTCCGAATTTCACACACATTCGTAAGCAGCAAGTTATTTTCGCGGGCTACTGCAGATTCTTTGGCCCCGTTTTTAATGGTGAGAATGATCTTAAGTTTTTTTTTTTTTTTTTACACTGAAGAAGTGGTATTTTGGCATAATGTGAAGTTTAATGTGCAAATTAAATTGCACTCCTCGTGCACAACACAACAAGAATTAAAAAAAAAAAAGTACAACATGTCACACAAGAAGAACGTAGGTAATGCAACCGCCACCATGATCAACACTGTGGAAAAGTGAGGACAAAAGACTGAATAAGGAAATGTCAGAGAGGACAACGTGCTCAGCGCTGCTGAGTCATTTTGAATATGTACTTGGCTTGAATTGGAAAGTGACAGTGAATTCGCACCCTCTACCGGGAGCAGCAACCGAGAATTCCTGAGTTACCAAAAGTCGATCACAAAGGCCATGCTTTTGCACAATGCGATCAGCAACAGCCGTACACGCAGAAAATACATCAACGTGGCCATGTTTTGACCTCGCTATCGCTGGCTCTTGTAGTTTGATCGCTGGCTGCTGTAGTTTGTCACAGCTAGTGTATTGAACGACTGCGCGCACGAAATTTTGCCGATTTTAGGCCTGTGTATGGATAACAACAACAAAATACTCCGTGCTAACCGTATGAAACTCCACAAGCAACTATAGCTTAAGGGGAGACGCGGGTCGAAAAGTCGCGGTTTTCCGGAAAATTTTCGCTTTTTTTTTTTCCGGCTGTATTGGCATCCTTGGACTATAATCTATTACTTCTGAAAATATCAAGCTGAAATTCGCACGAGAAATTATCAAAAAAATGCTTCCAAGTGGGCAGCGGTGACGCGAGAAATGCGCGAAAGTCGCGAAAAACGGCGAAGTTCGCGTCGTCCTGGCGCGAAAACGACGCGTTGGCCGCCATTTGCAATCGTGCACGCACGCTGCGAAGGCCGTATCCTTCATAATCCACTAGTAGCCAGTCTCGTGCCTTCATGCAGAATAAACAAAAAACTAGAAAAACAACGCGTACGTCACGCGTTTTGAATATCGCGGCACACAGCGCGAGGCCGCCATTGGACGGCGGTGCGCTCCACGCTCCTCCCCCTCCTATCTCTCCGGCAAAAGAGCGAAGCCTCGGACGTCGCGATCGAGTTTTTCTGCGTTTCTCTGCATTTTTGCGTCATGGCAAGCCCGAAGAAGTGCAGTTCAGATAATCGAAAGTTCAGAACTCGCCACAAGTATCGAGGGAAACGGCGTCGGGCGCTTCGCAAAGCGACAGCGAACGACGATATCGCCCCCGACCAACGCCCCGACGCTCTGACTTTGGATAGGCCTAAAACCGTCACCGAACCCTGCTTGTGGTTGTGAAATAGCCGCTGCCGTGGAATTCGTCAGTGCATCCCAAAGGAAGATTGGATTCTTCGAGAGTGAACGTAGACCGGTAGATGCTGCTACTGCGAACATGCTGCTTTGCGAAATCGATGCGCTGACGGCACTTGGGGCGAGTGCGGAATGCCCAACCTGCCGCGAACGGAAGCTCAGCGTGCGAGAGGCAGCTGGAAAGCGCAAAGGACTTTCGGCATTCCTTGAACTGTGCTGTCAAAATTCTGATTGCCCTGAATCTGCACTTTCGTTCACGCACACGTCGAGACGTACTGCTTCGGCCGGGGACCAAGGAACGAGCGCTCGTTTTGACAGCGGCAGCTCGCGTGACAGCTTTGCTGTAAACGTGAAGGCAGTTCTGGCAGCACGCGCTATAGGCGCAGGCCACGACCAACTTTCACGATTTTGTGCGATTCTCGGTCTTCCGAGCCCGATGCATCACAAGACATTCAATGGCATTTGCAAGAAGCTCCATGGTGC